TATTTGTAGGTGTCTGCTCTTGCAATAGTTTGTTTACCTAACCTGGTCATGTAAGGTAGTTTACGAGGTCTAATAATATGCGTAGCTTTGATTGAGAAGCACACTTTTTGTTGAACCTCAGATAAACCTAAACCCCCTTATTAAATACCTGAATAAGAATGCCATCGGCATAGGATGTGATGCTACATAAGTTACCCAACTCAGTGTTCAGCTTGCAAAGAGAGTACATAAGTATAATAAACAGGGGACAACACACCCCTTGTGGAGTGCCTAATTCTAATTCGCCTTTAGCACTGTAGGTCCCCTAATATCACACTTTTGTTCTTCTCAAAGATAGATAATCTCTAATCCATAGCAGAAGCTTGCCTTTAATAGGTCAAGAAGAGAATTTCTTCCTTATATCTGTACATCTGCAAGAAGTCGGATGATGTCATAAATGATTCATTCATCCTCAGTTGCAGTGGACTTGCTAGTCTTAGTGGCTGTATTAGCTTCATCAAAGAGTTGGCACTGATAATTAATTTCGTTTTTGTAATTTGATTTAAGAGAATAATGAATAATGAATAATGGGCGTTTATTAAGAGAAGAGTCCTCACATGAGGCTACCCTTTCTGGGCGTGGGCGGGGTGTTATTCTGTCTGTATTGCCTTTAATCTAGCTGATTTCCTTCCATATATTACTCATAGGAGTTGTGGACTATTTTTTTAAATCCAGTTTTCGAGTTATGATCTCATTGATCTTTTACTATAAAACACAAGATCCCTAGCTAAGTACGTTTTTTTCCCCAAGTGTGGTATCTGACTTACTGCAGGTCGTAGGAGCCTTCAGAGGCGTTTTATCTCAGGGTCTTTGTTCAGTTGTTGTCCACGTCTCCCTCTGGAGGATAAATATCTATACTTGGCAGGGCTTTTAGGTTGTAGTTGGGTAATGATATCGCCAACTTCTTGGTAGAATTTCATTAAAATGATCAAGGCTAGTAGGAGTAACGTTTTCATACCAGCAGGCAATCCTTTTAATGAACTCAGTGATATTTAATAGCAAGATGTTATCGGAGGCGTGGCTGGGGCGGGCTTCTTTTGCCAAATGGGAACGTTATCACAAAGAATGGGATAACTTTGCAATGCTTGGCAGTATATGCTGATTGTATAGAGCTATATATTCAAATTTGCCGCCCAGATAATTAGTCTTCTAAAGGACATAAAAGGTATATAGGGTCGTTAGTATTTTGGAGATCAATAAACCTTACCGTTTTTGTCTGCGGTGCTTCCCTCAGAGCCTAGGAGAGGATGGTGAGCATTAAAATCCCCACACAGTAAGACAGTGTCACTATATATTATACCGTCAAGAGGTTTGGATACCACCTCACTATCATGTAGATTGTATACATTAATGATGGTGATGGTGAAATATTTTGATACGAAGATATGCAGCACATGGATCATCACGATTGTCATCAATCACTTTCGATGGAATGGAGTTCTTTATGTAAATGCCTTCCATTGAGGGATTAGCAATATCGGTCTGTCTTAATATCCCGCAAATTTTACATAACGAGCACCAGTTCTGACTTCCAGAAGGCAACCCACATCAACATCTTCTTTTTATCTTCCATGTTATACATTTTAAGAAGTTAGTTGGATACATTATTATTTCCGAGGCCCACTGCAGGTTGAGACTGATGTTGATTGAGGAGGAACGTGAACATCCTTTCCTGGAGATTGCTGAACCATCTGTCGTTGCATCATGAACATCATCTTCTCCATCTGTCGGAGTAGCATTTGTTGCAGAGAGAGAGAGAGAGAGAGAGAGAGAGAGAGAGAGAGAGAGAGAGAGAGAGAGAGAGAGAGAGAGAGAGAGAGAGAGAGAGAGAGAGAGAGAGAGAGAGGGGGGGTATCTTAGGGACAGTGAGAGAAGAGAAGAGAAGAGAAAAAGAAAGGTATTCTAGTTATACCTGAGAAAGAGAGAGAGAGAAAGAAAAAGAAAGAAAGAAAGAAAGAAAGAAAGAGAGAGAGAGAGAGAGAGAGAGAGAGAGAGAGAGAGAGAGAGAGAGAGAGAGAGAGAGAGAGAGAGAGAGAGAGAGAGACTGAGAAAGAATATAATGGAAGGACTGAAGGGAAGAAGGAAAGGGAAAGAAGGTAGAAAGAAGAGGAAAAAGCAGCCTCCACCTTAGCCAAGCCCCACGTCCCCCGTGACCTTCCTCGCCCTCCTCCTCCTCTTCTTCTTCCTCTTCCTTCTCCCCCTCCTCCTCTCTCCTCTCTCCTCCTTTTCCTCCTCCTCCTCCTCTTCCTCCTCGTCCTCCTCCTCCTCCTCCTCCTCCTCCTCTTCCTCCTCTTCCTCCTCCTCCTCCTCCTCTTCCTCCTCCTCCTCCTCCTCCTCCTCCTCTTCCTCCACCCCCCTCCCCACCCCTCTCCTCCTACCCTCCTCCTCCTCCTACCCTCCTCCTCCTCCTCCTCCTCCTCCTCCTCCTCCTCCTCCTCCTCCTCCTCCTCCTCCTCCTCCT